GGTTGTGGCGGCTTCTCTTACTTGTGGAGCTCTTGCTATCTTCTAGCTAAAACCTGTTCTACCATCACTCTGGAGTAACCATTCCGTTGAAGGTCATTTATGATGATGCCTAGTTTCCTTTCGAGATCTTCCTTTGTATTACAGAGCCCGAAAGCACGGTCTAGTAGAGTCTTGATGATTCCTCTCTTAGTCGATTGATGGTGGTTGGATTTCTGGTTCAGATACCGTCCTGTGTGAGTGGGTTTTCGATATACAGATGTTTCCCATTCAGTATCGGCCCTCTTGACCAATACGTCCAAGAAAGGCAACTCGTTGTGGACTTCCTTCTCCATTGTGAACGTGATGAAAGGACTCACGTTGTTGATGTGCTTCAGGAAAGTGCCTAGTTCTGCATTCCCATGGTTCCATATTATGAAGGTGTCATCAAAGCTTTCTTCCGGGTTTAATGGCCGTGGTTTGCAGGTTTTATGCCAGACGATTCGTCTACTACTGCAGTATATGCGATGAGGTAATAGTCAAAGTGCTATTATTATTATCAATTCTCAACTCAGAAACTTCAACGCTGGAATTTGTCTTCGGTTCCATATTGTCATAGATGAGCGTAGCTTTGTTCCTCTTGATTGGATTACATGACCATGTTTGTGTATAATTAAAGACAGGTAGCCAGATTTTAAATGTGTTCATTAGTTTCCATTCTGTTTAATTTATTCATGTGCTTCTGAATCTCTATCACCTCTCTATAAATTATCGAATGGTGAAAATGAGTTTCCTTGAGTATTCACAACTTTTTCTTTTCTGTTAAAATCATCTGTATGTTTGTGGATTTCTATTGCCTTCCGTATCAGTCGGCTCTGGTATCCCTGGTTGGGGCAATTAGTTCCGTATTGGTGTTCAAGACAGAACTAGCATGAGCAGAGTTGGTAAGAGGATTATACGTTGGTCACTTCAAGTTCGACGTTGCTAATGAATCACCTCCGATTGAAAATTGTTATATATAGTAAAGAGACAAATCTTCAACCTTCCTTCGATATTCTAGGCTATCAAGGTCGCACGAGATGTTCGCGTCTCCAATCAGGCGGATGGCCCTTTTCTGGATGGAATCCAGCAGCTTCAGGGTATACTTAGGGGCGGACCTCCATACATGAGAACAATATTCCAAAGAAGGCTGATCTGAGCTTTATGAAGCATCAAAAGTTGCTGAGGTGTGTACAGTTTTCTGGTTTAGAACAGTGATCTAAGCTGTTGAGAAGCAGCCTTTGCAATTCCAGTGACATGATTATGCCAAGACATTTTGGTGTCTATTTTAATCCCCTACAAACTTATCGAAGCAGAAAGTGGAATTGTCTGTACTGACATTATTATATCCGGTTCAGAAACATTTATCTTTTTGGAGAAAACCGATGCCTGGGTTTTTGTGGCATTGGATTGAACCTGATTATTTTCACCCCAATTCGAAATCACTTCTAGATCCTCATCAAGATATGCAACCTTCTGCTGCCAGTGAAGCGGACGATGTCGTTGAATCCAAATGGAATGACGAAACAAGTGTGCTGTCATGAGCGAAGCAATACATTTGATTCTTGCTTATTTGCTCATTTGAGATCTTATTTTATTACGTTATGAAAATTTGTGAGTTAGTTTCATAGTTATTCGAATGAACCAAAATTCACCATCTTCTTAAATTTTTTTACGACCTCATTGAAGGAGATATTGAAAAAAACTTTACTGCCAATTCTCAAGCTTCATCTGTTGACTATCACATATTTCCAATCCAACGTGTTGCCTCCGAAAAACCATCAACAATTTCACTATTTTAAGGTCCAGGAAAAAATCTTTCATGGTTCAGACAAACAGAAAAACCAGAAGGAATCACCCTTTTTCACGACATTTTTGCTGATGTATCATTATAATCGTTCAATTAGTAAATTTGAAAACTGTAAAACGGTAATTTTTTTCCTAATTCAACTGACTTTGTATCTTTTGCGGTTTCCGATTTTCTCATGCTGTTTCTCCTTATTTTTGACACATTGTACGTCATATCTTCAGATTATTCGGTGAAACGTCTACGTTCTAAATCAAATGTTTCTTGTCCTTTATTTATTCTGACTGACTTCTACTTTGAAGCATCTCTCAGTGGAAAGACAGATCCAATATGGGAACGGATAACCCTAACGATACTCCTGTCGGTAATAATGTATATGGAATCCATACATCAAAAAGCATAAATCCCGTCGTATATGGAAAAGCCGTCTAGCGCGTAGCGAGATGGGCCAAATACATAAAACGTCACATTACAGAGACATATCGCCGAGAAATGTATGCACATCTGATTTCATGACCTACCTGGATCATCATTAGTCAAATCCTGCAGCGCGAAAGAAGCAAAACATCGCTACATAGAGCAACAACTATACATTGGCGTGCCTGGAAAATGAAACTATTAGGAAATGAATTATTAGTAAAAAAACATGTTTGCAAACTTGCTCTCGAAAAAAAAATACGTCTCAAATTATGTCACACATCACATCACACATCAATTTATTGTATAACGTTATGTTCAGTTTTTGCTCACTATACAGGGTGGTAATTAAGTATGTACCATAAATTCAACAGACGATTCCTTAGGTAATTTTACGACGAAATGTTCATATAAACATGGGTCCGCAAATCCTTCGTTCTCAAGATACAGGGTGTTAAAATGAAAATTAAAAAAAGTTATTCGTAAATATCTTAAATATCCTTTACCTAATTTTTTTTGTAATTCGGTAATGGTATTTATAACATTAAGGAGCTAATGTAGCCCGAACGTGATTCAATTTATTAAGTCCAGTGGCGTCTCGAGCGGAATTTGAACGAATATTTTTGACTTAAAAATGTACGCCACTGACTTTTATTCCTGATTTTTTTTCTCAGGGTTATCAAATCAATTTATATTATATTAGACAATGGAAGTCCAAACTAATGAAATATTAGTGCAATTCGTTAGTCTAGATATCAATGTTATTTAATATTTGTTGTTATTGTTACATAATTAGTAATGAAAAATTGTAAAATAATAATTTCCAGAAGAAACATTTAATTCCCCATATTATTCCTTGTGAGGTCCAGGGATATGCAATTAGATCGACTTTTTTTCCTAAAAAATAAGCAATATACGAAAAAAATTCGAGAGACAAAAAAATTGTATTTCTAATTGCTCAATCTAAATAAATAATAAAAATTGCACAAAATCAGAGGCATACATTTTGAAGTCAAAAATATTCGTTCAAATCCTGCTCGAGATGCCACTGTACTTAATAAATTGAATCACGTTCGGGCTACATTAGCTCCTTAATGTTATAAATACCATTTCCAAATTACAACAAAATTAGGTAAAGGATATTTAAGATATGTACGAATAACTTTTTTTAAATTTTTATTTTAACACCCTGTATCTTGAGAACGAAGGGTTTGCAGATCCATGTTTATATGAACATTTTTTCTTAAAATTACCTAAAGAATCGTCTGTTAAATTTATGGTACATACTTAATTAACACACTGTAGTTTTAGTATGAGGATTTTGAAGAAAAATATGCAGAGTTGATTTTGTTTACATTCTTTTTTTCTTATTCTAATTTTTTTTTATTGGTCATCCGGAATATTAGAAGCTGTATCCAAGTTGAATTTCGTAAATTATTGGTGCTAAGCGCATGTGCGTCACCACGGACATACTGCTGCCGGACTAAGTCATGGCCGGTGAAAAGACCCTTCCTCAAGATGTGCAATAGATATGTAAAAATCTGTTATCAGTCTGTTAGATTATTCGAGGCGTGAACATCCACATTCAGGACCGTATTCAGTTAGTGATGGTGTCAAACTCGTGAAGACACGATATGATTTCTCCCACCGACCATGACTCAGTCCCGTGGCTGTAGTTTTGAAATATTCGTTTTTCATGTACTTTTCCGAAATCTTCGCTTTCCGCTACCGCTATTCGCCGGTGCTCAGCGCTTACGTCATACATTCCACAAATGCTCAACGCTTTCGCTCTCCCAGTTGGATTTGCAGAAGGGATTCCTTAATTCAGATAAGTGAATTTCCAACTTGGTTTCACACTTTATCTTCATACAAATTGCTACACACTATTTACGATTCAAAGCATGAAGTAAATGTTCAGATTTTGCGGGATACGTATGTCCTTGAGCTCTCTCAGTGATTCGGTTTTCATTTTCCTCAATCGTCGTCATGGTAACAGGATAAAGTCGTAAGGGGGCAAATCTGGTACATACGGTGGCTGAGGCATGAATACGGTGTTGTTTTTGGCCAACAAATTACGAGCAAGCAATGACAACTGAGCAGTTGCCTTATCTTATAGTGACGCGGAAAATATGAAATATTTTTCTATAATAACTTCAAGATAATACTCATTTTTGACCGCACGACCATGTCACAAGGGTTCCTGATGCAAAACGCCGCGGTAATAAAAAAAAGCTCCCCTGAACTCCTCCATTGGTATAATTGGATTTTGGTTTCGATGTCGTAACCTGAGCCATGTTCATGCGACGGTTTTTTGGTCAGCTATTTTGGAAAGAACTTCGCTGCCACACGCTTCATGCCCAAAATTTCCGAAAAAAATTGCATGGCATGAGCCAACTAATATGCAAACATCCTCAGCAACTTCCCTAATAGGTATTCGACGATTCTCCATGGCAGTTTTCTTCCTTTTCTCAACGTTTTTATTGGTTGCGATCTTCAGGCCTAAACTGTGAAATGTAAATATTTTTGATTGTACATAAACCTCATATTCGTTCAACTTCACATTTTTTACATATTTTCCACAAAAACTTTCTCCACGCCATACTTTAGTAGTGCCAAACAGTTTTCATCGTTGTAGATACCACCTTTTTCAGTTATATCTGATGACAAGTACTACAGAATATTTATGGTGATACCCGGAAGAAAGTCAAAATATGTGGATCATCAACAACTTTCAAAACTAGACATCGATAAAAAAACTCACCATTTGCACTGAGAACGGTGTAACGAAGAACTAGACGGCCAGAACCCCATCTCTGGAGAACCTCCAAAGGATGATCAAATTTGCCAAGGGGGCACTCTGAAAAAAAATCATTAATTCGTTAATATGTATACAGGGTGGGGCACCCCATACGACACGGTCCTTGTAAACCAAATCATCAACATTTTCGATAATTTCCCAAATTCAATATGTGTACAATGATCAGGGCTGCAGAAGGAAATCATTTTGGAGGCTACAGAGTATCCCAGAAAAGTGTGACATATCAAAGTTTTATTTTTTCAAAAAGAATACCCTGTATTTCGTTACATTTTTGAATAGGTCAGAAAAACATGACCGTTCCCGAGTTATTGAATTTTTTACGAAAATGCTAGGTACACTTAGAAACTTAATAACAAGCATAAAAGATGTTTTGGGTTATTGATTTCGATAAAACCAGTTCAAAAATCATTGTCACTTTTTCATAATCTCGAACAAAGATAACTATGTTATTTCAAATATTAGAATAGCTTGTAAGTTTTTTGGCTGAACAATATAAAATTCAACTATCTTTAATTCAATTTTGGGGTTTCTCACACCTAATCTGAATAGTTTTTCAGATATTGGCTTTTTCATAAAACTAGTAGTTCTTATTTCAATGCATTGTTTGGTTTACAGGGACCCTGTATATTAGGTTGTTTCAAAAGTTGTATCCGTTTTCATTAGTCCACGTTAAACTGTAATATCTCAGTAATGACAGCCACCGTATTCACCGGATTTGACCCCCTCCAATTTATTTCTGTTCCCAGTATTGAAAAGACCCATGAAAGCAGGGCGTTTTGCGACGATTGAGGAGATGAAAAACAAATCGCTAAGAGAATTGGAGGACATACCAATAAGTGCATATCATAATGGCTTTGAGGAAACAAAATAGAAATTGATGAATAAGTGAACATTAATCAAGAAAAATGAAAGATCACAGACAACCTATACCAAGATCCACGCTCTGTTTTAGCTGATGAAGTAAACGACAAAAATAAAATGCAAGCTCCTCGTGAAATTTCCAATTCTCCCATTGAAACAAGAGTAAATGAATTATCATTCTCTCCGCCAAAGAACTGGACACGCAATCTGGGAATTCAATCAATCAAATGGCTGATAGCAAAGTTGATTGATGAAATTGTATCGATTAAAGCTCCAGTCTCAATTGGGGGCTGATACACGACACGATGAAGGTATTTTATAGCCCCATTCAATTAGTTAAAGGTGTGTAGGCGCGAGGCCAACGAGAAGGGTGAAAGAATTGGCAACATCTATAGTCCAGTCAACTAATCCAATATATGAGTAATTAAACACATTGTTGTTTACTTGTTCTTTCGATAATTTGAATATAATTGATGCATTCGAAAGGATACACTTTATTAATAGTTTATTAATACAGAACTTAATATTTTTTCTACTGAAGAATATAATGTACCAGGCTATATCTTTTTCAAAATGTTTAATTTTTAAAAAATTGTGAATGGATTTTATGTGGATTTTTTGATGAAAGGACCTGAAGTGAATCAACTATCGCCACCACACTAATGGGTGTCGATAAATGACTGAGCTGAGTAGAAGAATATGAGCATAACTTTCCTTTTAAAAGCCTTTTTTTGTATTCGAATATTCCAAAAAACTATCAATTTTAGTGCAATATCAAAAATATTGAAAACGTAGTACCAATGATGTAACTAGTTGCAAGTCGAAACCATTATTACCATATTTAAAAAAAATAAACTTGACAAAAGAATTTGATTTGAATAAATACAAGTAAGTTTTCAGATCATGTTTCATTTCTGGGGTGGGGATTTTTTAATTTTCCGTCAACCTACAACTCATACAGTTATACAATCAGGACCGGATTTAGGGGGGAAGGTGGGGCTACTGCCCCGGGGGCGCCACTATTAAGATAAAAAATATAAAAACTTTGACGAGTAAGCAACTTTAACGTTCCTCTTCCCAAACATTTTTTTTTATTTTTACAAACATAATAATATTGTTATCGATATATCAGAAGTTAAAAATTCAACTCCTATAAAAAATTAAGGGGACCATAGTATTTCCTTCTTCTTATACATACAGTGTCACTATTAAAGTCCGCACCATATGGAAAACCTTTTTTTCGAAAAGTTTCAATGAAGTTTAACTTCGGCACTTGTTTGTGCTTTAAATTTAACATAAAATGATGCGGCCAACTGCGACCCACTGACATTCAGTGTTTGTCAAATTCAACTTTTTTTTTGAAAAACATTGAAAAAGTGCATATCTAGATCGAATTTAACAAAAAGTTGTGTCTACGCCAATTTTATATCCATATGCAAAATTTTATGCATTAAATATAAAGTTAACGTTTTGCTTATTTTTGACAGATATTCCCTTTATTTTAAAAAACAAGTTCGGTTAATTGTCATCAATTCATGTATACATAACAAACTCATTATGGGGTTCAACTTTTCTGATACATTTTCACTCATTCGGACATTTTTAGAGAGAAATTAAAAATTTTAACATGACTGGTGCAAAATTTCAATCACTTGGCTATTTTCTTAAACAAACCTTTGATTTCGAAAAAGCAGAGGCAACTAAAAAAAATGCAAATAATTTCGATAGAACTATTATTATTATTATTATAAATTTTATCCGTTATACCGGAAGTTGAGGGCAACTTTCTTATTGCAAATAAAACACCCTGTATTTTATTACATTTTTGAATTTCTCAGCACATTTTAGGCCTACTTTGTATAACAATGCCTATACCCAAATTTGTTAATTTTCGAGATATTACTTTTTTTCTGAAAAATTTGACAGTTACAGCACCACTCCGAAAAAATCATAACTCATAGACAGTAACAGTTGAAAATGTGAAATTTCACAGAATTACACCTTAAGCATCAAGTCATGAACAGGTCTATCGAATTTTCGAAAATAATTTACAGGGTGGTCGAAATTTCCACCTAAAACATAACATCGAGAAAACTAATGAAACACGATTTCCTCAAATGGAAACCATACACTACTCTATTATTTTTGGATACTACGAAAAAAAGGATATCAAATTCATGAAGAATGTCATATACCTAAAATACACCCCTGGCAAGAATTATTCGATTTTGGGAAACATTTGAAATAATAATAATGATAATAATAATATGTCTTTATTAGAACAGCATGAAAAATAATGAAATGTAATAATTTACACATAACTGCTGACATGTAAATCATTCGAAGCAATAAGTACCAAACCACGAAAGATTTAAAAACAAATGAAGTTACAACAAATATGTCAAAATTTGAATATAATTGACGTGTATTTCGTAGTTTTCTATGTGTGCAAAATGTCTCGTTTGGGGTATTCTAATGAAGATTTCCTGAATTTAATAATCATTTATGGTGAATGCAATAAGATAATGGACAGAACTTGTCGTGTTTTTGCAGAAAGATTTCCAAATCTACACAAACCCAATAATAGTTATTCATTGTTTGAATATTAGAATATTCCATATATTTTATTTTGTTGATTATTGATGTTCGTTACCTATGTTATGATATTTATGTTTCAATAATTGTGTGTAAGGCTCATTAGCCTAATTTTATTAAATTGACTACAATTTTATTATGTCACAAACATTTTATATTTGTAATGACGTGAATAAATAAAATATGGTTCAGTTTTCATTTCTATTTATTTTTACTTGTGAAAGGTAGAGGGAATTATAAAATCTATAATGTCCCAAGGGAGTTATGACCCTCTTTATTGATAGCGTAACTATGACGATATAAGCTTATAATATCCCGGTCAGAAATAAAAATATTATGAGAAGACTTCTAAGAAACTGCTGTGATTTCGGCTCTTTTTCGCCTGTCATCAACAAAAAAAACACTCGTAAACAATGAGGACATCGAAATTGTAGTTTTGGCCTACTTGACAGCCTATCCAGAAAATTCGTAGAAAGACGCAGAAAAGTCACTTAGAATTTCATGTTCGTCAATAAACCGGATTTTAATCAAACATAAGTGGCGTCTCCTTCAATATCACCAGGTTCAAAATCTGAAACCTCTCACGACTTACCTGCACGAGTGGAATTCTGCGAATGGTTTCTTATCAAGATACAGGAGGACCCTGAGTTCATGAGGAACATGATATGGACAGATGAAGCCAAATTTGCCAAGAATGGTATGTACAGCCGCCATAATAGTCATCTTTGGGCGGCAGAAAATCCAAGGCTCGTTCACCAGCGCAACTTCGGATTCATGGAGTTTTAATGTTTTTTGCGTTATAAAGGAAGACCGAATTTTATGTTTATATTTTTATGAAGAGAATTTGAATAGCGATAGATATTCGCATATAATTAGAAATGTGATTGGTGGTTCCATAAGGCATGTTTCTGAACAATACCGTTTCAAGTTATAGTATCAAATGGATGGAGCCCCTGTACATAGTACTGATACCGTTGCTGGGTTGTTGAATGGGATATTCGAAGATCAGCGGCTTTGCTACAATGGGCCATTTAAATTTCGTCCTCGCTCTCCACACCTGACGACACTGGATTTCTTCATCTGGGGATATATCAAAGAATATGTTTATGCGGATCCTGTGAGCGATAAAGAAAACATGAAACGAAGGGTTCTGAGAGCTTTCTATAATTTGATTCCTGACTCCTACAAATAGTGGTATGCAAAGAAGAATATATTCTTGTTTATAACAAAACGGCTGTCTTTGAACATCTGTTGAACCTTACGAAATATAAACAAAATAAAATTACTGTATTCGATACCAGTAAACAAAGATATAATGCATCTCTCTTATAGCATTTCATTTCAATCCATCCATTTTCATGTTGAGTTATTTTTTACCAACGATAGAGTTAATATTAGTTGATTTGTTTTCAAAGCTTTCTTGGTTTGGTATTGCTTCGAATGATTAACATTTCAAATATTTCCCAAAATCGGATATATCTTGCCAGGGGTGTATTTTAGGTATGGGACATTCTTCATGAATTTGATATATTTTTTTCTCGTAGTATTCAAAAATGATAGAATAGTGTATAGTTTCCATTTGA